AAAGGGATGCATAGAGTTCTCATTGAAGAGACTTGGAAAGGTGGAAAGGAGAAACTGTGTATAAAGAGTTGGAAGTGACAAACAGTTTGTCAGCCTCAGTCCTCGTGTTTAACAGGAGGGTGTAAAAGGGGAGTCAAGTGCAGGGTTCACGTACGCTTATGGAGGACTGTGGAGAAAAAAACTGCTGCTGGGAGCTTTGGACCACACAGAAGCTCACAATACAAATAATTCCTGGTTTGGGAGAGTTATTTAAACAAAGACAAAACCAACACAATTCATGTTCCCCAAAATAAGTTAATCAAAAGCGGAGCTTCGATGACAATGAGACAACCCAATACTTGTATTCATAACTTCTTTCCAGGCTCTGTATGAACCTTTGGGATTCAGAGTCAGAGTGCTTTCATGAGACAAAGGGCTGCTTTAACTGCTACCGCTGTGTTCTGAAGACCTCAGAAAGAAAAACTCAAGGGATTCCAAAAGCCCCAGACTTGGCAGAGACTGCATAGTTTAATTCGTGAAGTGAGAGGGCTGATAGATTACAAACTCAATTTTACTTCACAGGCACTAAAGCCATGAATCTAGTCCTATGATTCTTGAGTCAGTGATGATTAATGAGTTTTGAGCACTATAAAAATGCAAAGTGCAGTAGTTCAGAAGGAAAGGCTTCACCTGGTTGCACAGTGGCATGACCCAGGTGTCCAGGTTTGCTACCTGAACATTCAGGTGGACCTAGATTAAGGGTTACCATGTTGTAATTTGAAACATTTCTTTTCCCAGCAATCACTGGCGTCATTTTAAAGAAAAGTGGATTCCCTGGGGCATTCTAGAGAGTACTTTTGCATCAAATGTTGCCTATGTACGTGAAAGCAAGTATCCCTCGGAGCAGTGAGCTGAGCAATGTATCAAGAAATAACAAATAATTGCCTAATATACAGAGAAATAACTCCCGGGAATTTTTATTCAAAGCCAGCAGGGTTCAGGCTGGGACTGCAGGGCAAAGCAGTCTTCATTTTGACAGGCACAGTGCAGATACAGTACGGTTAAACAAAAAGAACAAAAAAAAGTAGCTTCAGGAGCATCAAGTCCTGGACCTGTGGCTCTCAAGAACATGAATGTGAGGGGATTTGAATATATTCCAACTCTCTTTTCTTATTAATCTGCTATTTTACAGCTAATCTGTCCCATTTTGTTAAGTTAGTAAAGTAAAATTTATTTCCTTTTTAGTCATCTTGAAATGAATTCGTGTCAGTGGAGAGGCAAGAGGACATTTTCTGCATACATTGCAAAGCTGTACATTACATTTACAAGATTCAGATACCCATAGTTTCCAGCTAAGAGAAGTAAATGAAATGTCAAGAAATGGACAAGGTAGCTGCACATGGCTGCAGAATGGAGAACTGAGTGCCGGGACATGGCTGATTCCACCTAGAAGCTGCTACAGAACCCAAACAACTCTGTGCGATTTGTTGCGTCAGACATCTTTCAATACGTCAGAAGAGAATTTTCTTGCTTAAATCTGTTGTCTTCTTTTGTTCAGGTGTTAGTTGTTTACTTTCACCATTTTTATAAGCAGCCCTGGATCCAGCAGAAATGACGTCTTGAAAAGTAATTTGCTAGAGCTGCCTTCTCTCTTTCAGCTGGTCTCTGTGGGCAAAGTCTCCCAGAGATGTGTCTAATGGAGAGAGAATTACCACCCTCCTACATCTCCCCAACCACACAGCGTGCTTGGTGGACGCTGGCAGACACCCCTTGGACTCTGACCATACAGGGACCTCCACACACTCACTTCTAGTAAAAGATTCCTGTTTTGGGGCACACACAAGAGTACCCAGATCACTACATTTCCTCTTGCTGAGGAGGCAGGAGAATCAGTAAAAAAAAGCCTAAAAACAGTGACCATCTTAATTTCCAGTCTCTTCCTACTTTGTGAAATCTTTGTTTAGCCCTCAAGAGAGTAGAAAAAGAATTGCAAGAGTCCAACTCTACCTTAGAATATCAGCAAAAGGCAAGTTTTGTACAGTATTTGCATTTTAGTCTTATCTTTACCATAGGTCTATTTGAAGGGATTATTCTATAGACTGTCTGCAGATAGGAGTGCAAAGAACTAGAGTTCAGTCCCAAATTCCATAGTATCAGACAAGGCACAAAATTGGAGCTACCATTTAAAGAATGAATGAAAACCAAAACCAGAGTATAAACCATTTATTTTTTGAGCAAATATCCTATACAATTGTGGTTTGACTACCATTAAACTGCTTACAAAATTATAGCAAAGAATCTGATACAATGTATTCCTAACAATCTTTAAAGTCCATTTGGAATGGTTTCAAATATAGAAAAAGACCCAAACTTCACCTATACTGAGCTTATTCAATTTGCATCTTGTACAACTTTTACAGTTTATAACTGGATAAGTGTTGATGCATAAAGCTGTAGTTCACCAGTGTTGATCACAACTTATATTAAAATAAATAAGCAAACATACTGAGATGATGCAAGCTGAGCATACAGAATTCATCCTAATAACACTTGATCAGAAGGATTTAAGTAAATAGTCACACTAGCAAATTTCCAGAAGAAAAGGTATTTAGAAGCAACATTCTTAACACCTTCTAAGAGCAATTTTCTCCTGGTATTAGCATTACTCCTACACATCCATTTTCTGAAGTTATAAAATAAGATGCTTAAAGGTAAATGATAAAACTAGTATGTAAAAAAATGTTTCTTCATCATCTAAAATACAATAAGCTGTATCTTCACCTTTCAGATATGTCACTAAAGCAGGATTTTTTACACTTTAGTGTTCAAAAGTTAAGCACTAGGTTTGTTATCTGTTCTTTGCCTGTTCAATGCAGATTCAGCTTAATCAAGATTTAGAAGGATCCTCCTTTCCCATCCAAGTTTCCTGCTTTTATTCAGCCTATGAAGACAGGTGTCTATTTTTCTTCCCCAGTAGAAGGGAAAGAATATAGAAGGCCATCTTAAAACAGATAGTGAATCTCTACATGGCTCAAATTATATGTGATGAGTTGTGTGGGATAAGTGATGATTTGTAGGTGTCTCTGTCATAAGGGGAGTTACCGACCTAATTGTGTTTCTCATTTTGTCCTGTTAGGGTACAATTTAGTGTCCCACAATTGCTCCTGTGTTTGGTCAGCCCCAAAAAATCAAATCATCATCCTGGATACCTATAGCCAGCAGTGATGTTGTCCAGACAAGGATTCGAATTTTAATTTACATCAAATACGAGCAACCAGAAAGTATTTGATCTTCTTTAGCTTTCCATACGCGAAAGGAAGGCTTGTGCCTCACACACCAGCACACTAGTAAACACCAAAATATGTTTGTGTATTTGGAGGTTGTCAGCCTCTCCACTTACAAGATGAGGACTCCGCACATCTCATTGCTGGAGTTAACAATGTCGTCCGAGCTTTCTCACACCAAGACCACTCTTGCAAGGCTCTCCGCAGTAAAGCGAAAAAGAAAATGATCTATGAAAGTGCTGAAGCATATTGCCTGCCTCTCCAGCACAGGGATGACGTGGCAGCAGATCCCCAGGGGAGGCGGTGGGTGCACTGCTGCTCCCACCTGATGCAGGTGCACCATGGCTCGGAGGTGGAGAGGGGATGAAGCAGTGGGCACAAGAGCCAGAGCTTCAGCATCCTTGCTCCCACGTGTATCAGGCAGGCGATATTCCCAGGCGAGCTCTTGGGAGAGCAGTGTGGTCATAGCCGCACTTTGGTTTGTGGCAGCAGGATGTGTTTCTGGGAGGGAAAGAAAAATACCCAGTGTTAAAGGCTAGCCAGAGGAAATATTTGCTCTTATGATCTCAGTGGAGTAAGAACCACATGCTACTTTTTTTTGAGAGACACACACACTGAGCCAGCAGCTCAGCAACTGAGAGTGGGACAGAAATTATCCATTACCTTTTAAATTTTGAATGGCCTTTAAGTATTTTCATTGTTTGTTTTATGATCACACATTAGTGATGTTATTATTATCAGTCCCATAGAAAATGAGGTAAAACCTCTCCAAGAAAAAAAAATATTTCACTCTTAAGATAATCTCTTTTCTTGAGTGGGTAAGGGGGATAGAAACTATTGCTCTTTCTGATATATGCTGAGAAATGCTTAGGAAATATCACCTAATTTTCAGGGTGGAAAGGGGGAGCACTCAATGCCTGCAACTAATAGCCTGTTAGGCTGTGTCCATGGAAAATAATATACTAAAAGGAGAAAACTCGTAGTTCTGAAGCATGGCTCCCTTGTGTCTCAAAGCATCGGGAATAACTGATTTTAATGGATGATTAAAAACTTCCCCCCCGCTATGATTGCACTGTAGGGAGCTGCCATCAGCAGCGACCTACTTGCTGTCATAGCAGAAACATGTGTTTCAGTTGCTGGCCTAAATGCAGATGATTTTTGGTTGGTTCTCATCTATCCGCAGTGTGGTATACTTAGAAAATAAATAACATCTGCCAGAGGGCCTCACTTGCTTTGCAAGTGGGTTCAGTTGGGTTTCCCTTCCTTATCCATACAGTGGTGTAGGTACAGCCCTCACAGATGGCAGGCGCCTGGGTGTAAAGATACAGAGAAAATGTAGCTATCCTTGCTACCCTTTATATATATATATGTGAGATGCTGCTTGTGCTAGGCTGGCATATGTGATTTCTTTGTAAGGGACTGTCAACTACAAGCCCTCTGAAACTGCCAGAGAATCAAGAGATCTATTTGAAAACATTTTTCTCGTTTTCTACACTTTCTAGGAAGCTCCCAATTCACATTTCCAAGCTTTGCCATGCAACCATGCAGAATTGCCCTTTTCCAAATGACGGATTTGCTGGGAGTGGCAGCAGCAAGAACAGAGCAAGCTGGTCAGTCTTGCACTTCATGTACTCAGAGCTTTAGTAGAGACCAAGAACTATCATAAATTAGCATTGCAGGCATTGGCAACACTACTCATGGGGAAAGATTCTTTCCTCAACGGAAAGATTCTTCCCTCAACTAACCTTGCTGTGTTATTAAAGGCACCGTTTTGAACATGAAAGGCTTAAACATGGAGAAGGAAATGTTTCAGCTCATCTGGGAGGAGAAGTCCAGTTATTTTTTGATGCTGCTTGTGTCCAAAACACCTCCTGATGCACAGGCGGCACAACTGCATCAAGGACAGTGGCCCTAGAGAAAGAATTAGGGAAGAGGTTACACATGTGGCTTTATCATCCTAAAACTGTAAAGCTGAAATGGCAGTTGTGCATCGTCGCTCCTCCCACCTCCTGCAACCCACCTCTTACCAGGGGTGCATGACTCCCAAAACACTCAGCAGTGAAAAGCCAGACTTACACCCACCAGAGGATGTTAGCTCACCTGCATTTCATTTCAAGCCTGATCACTCTCTACTATCACACAGCCGCAATTAGCATTAACAGCATCAGGCTTTCCCTTTTAAGCTGCACAAGTGTGAAGCAGTTTGTGTTGTCTGATGTTGTCTCATACTGATAAATACAAGCCCCTCTGAAGGATCCATGGTGCTCTTTTAAAAAAATCTAAATGCAATGGCATTTTATACTTGTTTAGGTCACTTAGCCTTTTCAGGAAGAGGTAGATCCTGTGAGATGTTTTCACCGGAGCACCTATCAATTCCTAGCCGCCCCCTCGTCTGTCTTTTGCACCTCAAAGCGCAGAACGCAGGGGTGACAAATGTGGAGGGTGGTAGGAGGGCTGTATTGTTTGGGTGGCCAAATAAGTTAGACAACAGCTCTCCATCATGCACGGCCCTACTTAGAGAAGGACATGTTAGAGAACACAGGAAAAACACTATTCAGCAGCAAAATGGCCTTCAGGCACTTAGAATTTTTTATTTCAGTTGCTGAATTTTACTTAGAAATGTTTCTTACTACCCAAGCTATCAGCTCAGCCCAAGCAGTGTCTTTCGGGCTGGCTCCACAGCGTGTGCCTGGAGTATTTTTCTATCTCAAATGAACAGGACACACGCAGTGCCACAGAAAACAGGAGTCTAACACAGCAGGGACTGGAGATCAAAAAGATCACCGCTCTGTGCACCATAGATTAGGATGGGAAACTAAATACCAGTTGCTCGTACGTAACATGCACAGCACAATTGTTTTCATGCTCTTATCTTTATATTACTATTTCAAGCAGGGCCTGATTCATCACTTTGTTATTCCAGTGTTACTTTGGTGCAAGTCTTTTCACAACTACAATCACATCAACATATAGTTGGCATAATAGATTCATGGACCGTGCCATCAGCAACTTGTTTAAAATAATGGAAATCCAGATTATTTAGTAATGCGTGTAGCTTACTGACTGAATGAGAACATCTAAATAAGAACACAAGTACACCAACAAACTGGCATTAGAGACCTCATTCTTATTTTCCTCAAGAAAGGTAAGTAAAGTTTATTTCAATAATTCATTAAGGTATACATAATCAGTAAAACAAACCAATCTGGAACTGTTTTCAGGTACAAAATAAGCACTTCCTAAAGATTAAGTTTACAGTTTGATGCTGCTCAACTATTCAGTACAAAATGCTGACCTTTATAAAATCCTAGTACATAAATGTGTATACATATATTTATATATGTTCATTACATAATTTCTGTGTGATTTTCCTTAATCCCCACAAAAAAAAACCTAATATAGTCTTCCAATTTAAGGATAATTTTGCACCTACATAAGTACTTGGGCCAACAATAAAAGTAGAGTAAAGAGCTAGAAGATCAATCTTTGAACATGCCTTTTATTTTCAGTTTCACACACTTTCAAATTTTCTGGCAGCAATTTTTCATTTATGCTGAGACCAGTATCTGGCACACACTTGACTGGCACCATAGTGTACAACCAAAGACACCAGTCCTAGCTCTCACTAGCTACCCTCAGCTCCTTTCAGAGATGATTTGCTGCCTGTGTTTGGCAGCACCCTCCAGACAGCACTCCTGGGTCTACTCCCATCACAGACACCAGGGAACTGAGAGACTCTCACTGACTTCAGTACTGTACGAAATCAGAAAAAGCTACCAGTAATACATAAGGAGCACTTTGCTTGTTTTTCTTCACACTAAATTGTATTTTGCACTGTATTACAAGCTCTGTACAATTGCTCCCTGATGCAGTGGATTCACAACTCAGAAGTTAAAGATGCGTTACTGTTGTTGCCATTATCACTGTTGGTTCACCACTATATTCTGACACCAAAAGACACAGTTTCCATATGCCAATGAATAGAGATAAGCTTAGTTATTCTCACTTTTATAATGCCAGTAGCATGGAAGAGCATAGCCTTTTGCAGCAGTTTGTATGTGTTTTCCCCAACAAATCCTGGGTGAACAAATAAAACAAGTGCTAAGGGGCACCTTCTTTCTGAAGGAACAGTTGGCTCACAGGACTGCCGGGAGGGACCAGCTCCATCGGTCTCTTGCTTTCAGCATTCTTCACCCAGATGTCCGCTCCAAAGTCAATGAGCAGCATCACCAGCTCCACACTGCAATTCCTGGCAGCCACATGCAGAGGAGAGTCCAGGCCCTTGCCAACGTTCACATTTGCTCCTGAACACCAACAGATGACAAAAATAATGACTATACAGTAGCCCATTTCCATTTCCTGCACTAGCTGCTATTTCTCTGAGCAATCCACGAACGCTGTAGCATCCACCCAGAGGTGGATTTTCTTATGCTGGGGCTTGGTACTACAGTTTGCACATGCACAACTCACCCTGGTTGAGGATGGGTAGGGTTGTGACTAAGAAAATGATCCCAGAGGAATGGTACATGAGGAAGTCCTTCATCCACAGACCAGCCCATTGATATCTTGAAACGGAACAAAGATATAGTTCCACCTATGGCCCACCTTTGCTCCCCATCCCAGTGCCCCATTCCCTTAAAACACACACAGGGATTCAACCTGCTCTGTACTGGAGACTTAAGCTGGTGGGATTTCCAAATGCCAAAGTATCTGTTGGGAAAAAAAATATGAGGGTGGAAAAGTTCTACAGGCCCTTGGTAGAGGATAATACAAGCAATTACCTCTGATGAATGTTCCTCCATCTGTTATCCTGGGCCAATTGTTCCTAAAACACCCTAAGATGGGTGAGCTGTAGAACTAATCAGAACTATTCATAATGTTTTTATAGTACACATTCCCGTATATAGAAGGCAATAAGAATGAAAATGGCAGAAAACAGAAAATAATAGCCAAACATTTAGTATTTAGATTAACTTGTATTTGGCTTATTCTGAAAAAGATCACTGTGTAAACAGTGACCTACCTAAAAAGAGTGACCATAATGTACATATTGTTTGCTTGTCTTTTCTGAAGCAGCTTTGTCCATCATTTTGTACTAGCTGTATGGCTACTTTAGGTTACATGGCCTCTTTTGTTAGAAGTGTCGCACCATTGTATGTAACACGAAAGGGTCGTGCGTAATTATCCAAGTGCTTAGACTTACAGATAATTTTGTTTGATGCAAAGTATATAGTGCTGGACACTTTTGTCTGTTGGAAATGTTTCAAACTTTTTATGAACTCAGTGGAAATTAAAACATTTTTGCAGAAATACTGTGTGAAACTGTTTGAATCAATTGTTTTGGGTAAAGAGGAATGAAAACAAAAAAAGGACATTTTTTCCTGTCTGCTTCAAATATCTGCAGCATCATACTCAGGGACACTGGAAAGGATGGAGTTTGTTCCAGGTACCAGTGGCCATGTGAAATATAGGATCACCCATCATTTTTTTGGAAGTCATAAAGCTCAGTTTCTGAGAGGTCAAGAAGACCCTGGTTACCCTGTTACCCTGTTTAACCCAGGAAGAAAGAAACATCTCCAGGTCCCAGAGCTGAAGTTCCGCTGTATCTCTGATGCAAAGAGAATTCAAAGATAGATGTTTCATAAAATGAAAGCACACCATCCTTTTTTTTTTTCTTTTTACCTGACTCAAGTAGCTTCTTGGCACAGCTCACTTGCTGGTTCTCACAAGCTACATAAAGTGGAGTACCCAGATGTTTGATGTTGTGGTCTATATTTACACCATGGGACGTGAGGAATTCGACACATTGCACATGACCTTAAAAGGATTAAGAAAGAGTCAACTCACACAGATAAGGCATTTTTTTTCAGCAAATTCTCTATTGCAACGGTGTAATATGGTAAAGATTCAATGTTTTGTCAAGAGATGGTAGTATAATACTTCCATCCACTCCAGTGTTTCCAACCTGGAAAACAGGAGCTGCAAAGCTAGCAAAACAGGCTAAAGCCCTCCCATTTTTATCTGATTCATTTCAGATGTCTACCGAAGATGAGACAAATCACGCTATGTTTCTTTCCACTGCTTCTGAAGACAGCCAGATGACTCCCTCAGATGTCCACATTGTAAGTGGCTGACTTGGATGATACATCCCCATTCCAAGTGTCACCACAGGAACTCGAATGCCCTGAGAGCTGAGACCCTGGTGAGCACCAGGGGCGGGAGGAACTGCACCACTCCTGGCAAGATCAATGACTAAAGTATTTCACATGACCCAAATCAACAAAATTATCCTCTTTATCTCTCTCTTCCACTTCAACACGCTGCTAAAAAAGTGGAAAGGAGTGCTGGTGCCTGTGGGGTTACCTCTCTTAGCAGCTTCATGGATGGGGGATGCCAAATCACAGGGCGGGTTTAGGCTGGCTCCATGCTGCAGCAATAGATTCAAGCAAGCCACGCTGCCACTGACACAAGCTCTGAACAATGGAGTGTGCCAGTCGACAGTAACTCCATTCACCTTGGGAAAAATAACACAATTGGTCTTTTTCTTCTTTATTATCAGTATTTCAAATTTGATGAAAATTATCCAGTTTCTCAGCAGAAAACGTGGTTCTCAATACTTTTTATTTAGTTCCTGGCAAAAACTGTCTGCTGCCTGCTGCCTCTGAAGATTGTAACTTCTTATTAAAAAGATCTTTTAAAAAGTCTTTTTAAAAATTGCCTCCAAGTTTCTCCTCCTGCAAAAGAATGTTCAGCCAGTGCCACTCCAGGGCCTCTAGGGAGTTACCAAGTTAAATGTGTACCTACTTCTCAGTTATCTTAGCTGAAACACACCTGCCTGTAACCCTCTCCTGAAACAGGCTGTTTCTATCTGAAAGCTCTCCATTCTCATTTTATTTTTTAAACTGAAATATAATATATTTCTAATGACTCAGTTTTCTTCTTCACTATGATTTTGACATTAGCTTGAGAAGTAGAAGCCATGAAGCACATCCATTTCACCATTTTACTTGGATGTTGTTTCCATTTTCTTCCCATTTCATCATCAGTTGATCCTAAGAGTCCTAACATTTCTACTTAAGACTGTATAATTACACCAACGAGATTAGTGTGTGCAGAAAATAAAATTCATCCTTAACTGTTGCTGGATTACAAAGCCTTAGTAAGAGAAACTTCCACTTATTCTTTCAGTAAATATTGCACCTTCATCTATAGAACAATAATAACTGTTATTTGTATCTGTGCTTTTGGGATTGATTTATTAAGTCCATTTTATAACATATGTAACTTAACCTACAGAATGAAAATCATGGTCATACGCTGACATGAAATAATACATCACCTAGCATTAAAAACTGATAATACAGCATAGTAACACTAGACACAATTATCTGTTTACCATGTTCTCACCTGAGCACCATGTTTTAATAGGACACTGGCACAAGCAGCATGACCCCCTAGGCAGGCTTCATGGAGAGGAGACACTTGATCTGCTGTAACAAGATTGACATCACTCCCCTGGATGAAATAATGGAAAATATCATTAGACCAAACTACCAAAACTCCCCCACAAAAAAAAAACCACCACCCCAACCCTTTCTATCTTTAAAGCTTTATGTAATCAGATCTTCCTCAACTGCCTGGAGCTACTCATCTCGATAGGTAAGCAGAGAAAGAGGCTGAGATGCTTTTGCTGGAGTAGATACCGGCACAGCATGCGAGTGGTCGTGCCTTCTACACGCTGCTAATCAGCACAGAACGCTGTAGGCAGTGGACTGTCCAATGGGACAAACAGAGACACGCTTTTAGGAACTCAGCATGGTTTTACTTCACTATGCCATGAATAGTAAAATAAATAAAATTATTTAAAAATATATGAAAAATTGCTACTAGAGTCTTGGCAGGGTAATTACTGCTGCCTTTTCAGTCACTGTTCCAGACTTTTGACCTCCTGCCTGCTGAGTCTGAAGCTGTTTGACTGCATTGAACCCTGAAATGCTTTTGAGGTGTTTTCTGCTCTTTGCAGTGAGGCATGCTCTGAAGGGAAGCCAGCCCCTGCATTAGAAACTACTGGTGTGGTTCTACAGGGTCTTTTGTTTCTGACAATCTGAATGCTCCAGAAGGTTAAGCTGGAAGAGTTTCCAATACCCCTTCCCTTTCCTTCAGTTCCTCCATGGGCTAAATCTCTTTTATTCGACTCTTCACTCAGGGGACCAAATGCTGTTTGTGGGCACAGGAGCTGCAAAAGGAATACGCCAGCCACCTGGAGATCCCAGTGACTGGGGTCCCATTACCTACACTAGAATTAAAGTATGACCCGGAATGTTTTGATACATCATCCATTTAAAGCACAGAGACTGTGCTGTGCAGGGAAACACTTTCAGAAAAGGGGTATCAATTTCACTGCATTCTGGATTTCACTGCATTCTGGTCAACATGATTTTCTCACCCTGGAGGTCCCACAGTAAAGTGCAGACTGCAATCAACACCCAAGTAAACCCAGCAGAAATCACATCAACCCAGCAAAGGGGTACCTGCTTGATGAGTTTCTTCAGAGTAAGCAGACGCCCACGAACAGAGGCATCATGTAAAGGAGACCAGTCTGAAACAAAGTCTGTATAAAGAGAAAGATAGGAAAGATAGGAAAAAAGGTAACAACTCTGTGGACTGTCTTATCAGTGTACTTCACTTAACTGCATGATCCCAGCAAACCTCTCCTACTTTAGTACTTGAGTTGTCAAGCTTTCCTTGCAGCAGCTGCCAGGACTATGTTTTGAAGAGGGAATGGCTGCTCAGTCATTTTCCTCTGCTTAGAGCTTGCCTAGAGTCACCAGCACCTAACCAGAGGAGATACCAAAATGTGATTCTGCCTTTTGGTTTTCAGTGTTTGGTGTTAGCCTGTGCAGTGGTGCATTTTAAGTAATAGTTGCATTCTCTGAGTTGTTAAAACACAAAGTGAAGTATAGCACATATATATCATGCAATATTAATAGAATAGGATCGTCATAGAATCATCATAGAATGGCCTAGACTGGAAGGGTCCTTAGAGATCATTTAATCCAACCTCCCTGTCATGGGCAGGGATGCCTCTCAACTAGATCAGGCAACACATGGGGACTGAATGGGGTTTTCTTTTTTTTTTACAGATTTTATAGCTCAGAGCCAGCTGACAGCAATAATCCCTCTGGGAGATGTTTACCTCCTTCAGCATTCATTGCCTCAAAGCCTAGTGTCTGGTGTACATCAATGGCCCAGGTTCCCCCTGGGAGCCAAAAGAAACATTTCCCGAGGGCATTTCATCCAGTTTCTTTTGGAAACATATTTTGCTACTCTCTAGAGATGTCCCACTCTCCTTCACTTTCGGTGCAGTTAGGAGGGTCATCAGCAAAACATCCACCCTGGACTTCCGGAGGACTGACTTTGGGCTTTTCAGGACACTGGTTCGGAGAATCTCTTGGGAAGCAGCCCTTAAAAACAAAGGGGGCCAGTAAGCCTGGGCTTACTTTAAGAATGAAATTATGAAGGCACAAGAGTAAGCTGTTCCTACGTGCTGTAAAATGAGCTGGTGGGGAAGAAGACTGACATGGTTGAGCAGGGAGTTTTCGCAACAACTCAGGGGAAAAAAAGAGCGTGTGAACTTTGGAAAAAGGGGCAGGTGAATCAGGAAGCATTTAAGGATATTGTAAAGTCATGCAGAAAGAGAATTAGAGAAGCGAAAGCTCAGTTGGAACTTAATCTGGCCATCTCTGAAAAGGATAATAAAAAGTGCTTTTATAAATACATTAATAACAAAAGGAGAGTCAGGGAAAATCTCCATTGCTTATTAGATGAGGAGGGGAACATAGTAACAGAAGATAAGCAAAAGGCTGAAGTACTTAATACCTTCTTTGCCTTAGTCTTTAACAAGAAGACTGTCTGTCCTCAGGGCAACTGGTGTCTTGAGTTGATAGACAGAAATGGGGAGCAGAATACCCCTCCTGTAATCCAGG